CGCGTACGGCGCAATCGATGCCCTAGAAAGCATGCGCATCGATTGCGTCGAACGCGCGACCAGAGAGTGCCGTTGCGTACTCTGAACGCTGCCTTACACTGAGAAATTTATTTTCTATTGAGTCTTCCAGCTACACCCCAAATGTTCGTTTTTCAGTATGATCGGTATAGCTTTTATACTGGGTACGACATTGATGTTCTTCGGTCTCACTGCTTCCGTCGCCTGTTTCGCCTTCAATGTCCCATTCCTATACACTGTATATGCAGCATGCGGCGCATTACTTTCAATGCTCTACTTAGCGATCGATGTCCAGGTATGGAGAGATTAGATTTTTTATTAGATATTTTCGATATTTTCTAAAATAAGGGCAGTATTAACTTGCAAGACCTTCCAATTTTTTCTACTCAATAGAAAACTTCCAAAGAAAAGCATTGGGTCTCATATTTTCGATTTCCATTTCTGCACACTGAGCTTCTCATAGCCATATCACAAAAAGGCGCTGGAGGAGAGAAGAGGAACAGACGACTGGGAAAGTGTACACATATGATTGAAACCCAACTGGCAATACAGCGTCAAGAAAAAACGAAAAGATAAAGGCGGAGAGCTACTTCGGAGGGCGGGGCGCACGCGTCGTTGCAGAGCCTCGGCCTTCATACCAGAGATTTTCGAGCTGCGAACTCGCGAGCACTCCACCTTGCATAAGGGAAAAATTTAGCGCATTGGAAGATCACATACGCTGTCTTTAACAGTAAAATTGAGCGCACCTGCAAAACAACATAGAAAGTAGTACGATAAGCAGATTTACTTTCAGATGTTGATGGGTGGACGAATGTTCGAAATTTCCGCTGAAGAATACGTATTTGCTGCAATGCAAATATTTCTCGACATTCTCAACATTTTCCTGTTTATTTTGCAAATCTTTGGTAAAAATTGATTGTATGCATTGAAAATATGTACATTTCACCTGGTGACCAAACAAAATAAAATATTGCTAATTTCCTGTTCCTTATTCAATGAAGTTACGGTGATAGCATTTATGGGTTCCCATGACATGAGTAATGAAATGTACTCGATAACAGGGTGATATATTATATGTGGGAATTATTTCCCATGGAAAAGAATATGCCGCGGTATATGACGTAGTTACTCAAATCAGAGTAAGGCGACTATGGCGTAAGGGCTTAGCCGAATAGTGGACGCGTCAGGTGGAGACCTTACTAGGTACGCCACGTTCTGCGCGCGCGCCAGCCCTCGTTTCCTCCAGTCGTTGTCAAACTATGGCGTGGGTATCAAGTCCCTGGAGCTGAGCTAGGAACGCATGTACGAAGAGAGGGCAGAACTTGAAGGCTTCTCCAAAGAGTACTACCGTTTGCTGTTGAGGGGTTGAGTAAAAGGAGTGTGCCGTCAACGAAAAGCATCACATTAATTATCCATAAGGCAGTGTTCAGACTTTGCGATGGTAGCGCTTGGATCGCGCGTTCGACGCGATCGATGCAGTAGAAAGCATGCGCATCGATCGCGCCGAACGCGCGGCCGAAGCGCTGCCGTCGCGAAGTCTGAACGCTGCCTAAGAAATATTGCTAACCATTGGGAGCTGCGCTTGGTTCATGATTAGGGATGCGCCTCATCGTGTTGATTAGAAGCTGCATGCAACCCAGGTTGCACAGCATTTCAGTAAGTGATGACTTTAAAGGCTCGGTCCGCGATCAGGTATAGAAGTTGAAAATATGGCGTCGGAGGGTAGTGTGGTCCGCGACGAACAACCCTGTACCGGTTTCGCGGCAAAAAATTGTAAGGGAGGGGTATATAGTGCCATATAGGCTCAGCGTGACGCCTCGCTTTTTCCGACAGTGACTTCCGCCCCAAACTCCGCCTGCATTCCAAGTGGAAGAAGCGATCTTGGGCAGGACGAAAAACGCATGAAAGCGTCACTTGTACGATCGTAGGTCTTATCAGGTAATCAGCTGTGCGGATGAGAGGGTAGTGTTGGAGAAGGAGCTCATGGGCACTCACAAATTGGGATCGAAATGGGTTTATCTAAAGAGTTTTGGCATGTTTCTTCTGCTTTTTTTCTTACTATTATCGCGGTTACTCGCATCCACCGCTTGCATCTGTGCCAAACTCTTACTCCACCTATCCGTGATGGTGGATGAATAACAAACAAACAACGAAGAAAAAAAAGAAAGAGAAAGTAGGAACCAAAACACTAATTATTTTACGCAACATCGAACAGGTGAAAACGTTATAACCTCATGTAAAAGCTCGACGAATGAAAAAAAGAAACAATAAAAACTCTACCCTAAATGAAGCTATCACACTTTTTGCTCATTTTTACTGACGATCGCGGCGATAGCCGATGTGAGCCGAGGTCGCCGCGATTGTGCTGCTGTCGCGAAGTATGAATGCTGCCTTAGTCCGACGCGACTGGCTCCCTCCATTTTTCCCCATATTTTGCCATCGATCGTCATCAAGTAATTTCTTACTTCAGTCACAGAAAATAAAAGCTGTACAGACTTTGACAAAGCGAACACGTAATGAGGAGTGGGTATTTTTCGCACCACGAAGGAAAAATCAACAAAAGTTTGTATCGAAAAAGTATCACTCGCGATCGGGAACATTTGTGGAGACCAGATATGACCTCCTATTTCCTTAACGACCAACCCCCTTGACGGGGCTCTTCTAACGATGCACTACTGTGAATTTAGGACCTCCAATGGGATTCTCTGTGAAGCACTTTCTCGCTTTTGCACGGTAGAATATAATGTACTATTTTTGGTCTCAAAGGTGATATTTTTCAGTGACCTTCACCATTCCTTAAGTGCTTATTTACCAGGGAAAAAAAGGATATGTGTTGTTGGTATATGGGGAGGATAGAATGGACTGAAATTGATCTCATTCAATGAGAAGAATCCGGTTGTTTTGCTTAGCCCCTATAGCACCCCACCACGCTGTGGAAAGTATAACTTTGACACAGACTTCAAAATTAGTATGAAATATAAAGGATGCTTTTGGGAGAGAGTCCACTCTAGCAGTCACAGGGCCGAAATGGAAGTCACATTTTTCAGTAAGTGGGAAGGTGTAATCTCGTGACTGAATGAGTAGTTTGGGTCCATCACCCCTTCAGTAGCAAAAGGGGTGCAAGCTCAACTCATAGGTCACGCTTACCCATTCAACCTCTCTTCCTCCCTTTCAAGCTGTAGTGCCAAAAATCTGAAGCTGTCCAAGGCTGGAAAAATTCGAAATCTGAGCCTGGATCAAATCCGTTATGCAACCGTAAAAACTGCCCTAAACAAAATGCCTTTCTCGGCAAACGTCCACCAATCGTGACGGCGGTGTAGGCCCTCCAGGAGTCAATTAGGCCGAACTGGCTGCCCGTAGTGGCCTTTTAATAGTATACATGTTTTTCCATAAGCCTAGAGGAGGGAGGTGACTAAACCATTCGTTGCTGCGAAAAAGGGGTCATGACCAGACGATCCTGACTTTGTGCACAATGGTATTCTAATGCTCACTCACTTACCGGTTAGTATGCTTTACCCTTTCTATGCTTTCTGGTAAGTACTGAACCGTATAGTTGTTGCTTCACAAAAGATCGCCAACTATCGACGAGAATAATCATTGGTCCACGGCCCCGAACAGTTCCATCCAGCCTTCCTCTGAAATTGTCTGCTGACCAGTTCAAAAACTCTGGCAGGTGCACTGCTGCCTGGCACTGCATGGTCACTTGAATTATTCACCGGATTTTTATCCCGCTTCTTCTTCTTCCCA